ATCACCCCAATATCTTAAGGTAAGGTTTTTTTTTTTCTTCTTCTTCGTTGTCGTCTTTTTTTTTCTTTTATATATCTGCTTTTTCTTGTTGGTGTTCTTTTTCTTGTTCTTTTTATTGTTCTTCTTCTTCTTTTTGTGTGTCTTATTCTTATTTGTTTCTGTTACTGTTGTAACTGTTTTTTTTTTTTTTTTTTTTTTTTTCGTAATCGTGTATGTCGCTCTCACTCTTCCTTTTCCTCTTACTTTCCCTCTCCTATTCCCCTCTTCCTCCTACTCTCTCTCCCTCCTTCTCCCTCTCCCTCTACTCTCTTCCTCGCTTTCTCCCTCTCCCTCTTCTTCTCCCATCTCCCTCTTCTCCCTTCCTTTTCTTCTCCCTCTCTTTGTCTCTCTTCCCATCCCATCTTATTCGTCAATCTCATTCTCTCCTTTCTATCCACCGCATCATTTATTCTTTTAAACATTGCAACTATTTTTCTTTATATTCTCAGTTAATCTTAATAAACCGGAAACATAATGTCTTAATAAGTCTTATACGATTTTTGAAAGATAATTATTTGGATGGAATACCCCAAAGAGCTGCCAAATATATATATATATTTTTTTATAAACACGCAAAATTAACGTCAACTTTGATAATAATTGTATGCATGTTTTTAATAGCTGTCTAATGATAATAATAAATTTGATTAATAAAAAAAAAAACTGCCATGAAAGGGTTATAAATATTTTCTCTTGTGACGCGACGTTAATTTAATTCGATGTTTTTTTTTTTTCTTTTTCAGCTATTACGGTGTTTGTGTGAACGAAGGCCAAGTTCATGCTTTAACAGAGGTGAGATTCTTCTCTTGTTTATGCAGGTGTTTCAAGCGCTTGAATACTGTATATGTTGTTGACATACTGGATTTGTACTCTTTATTTGCAATGGATTTGTTTTCTTGATTGTAATGGATTTGAGTATTTATTTGTAATGGATTTGTATACTCACTTGTATTCTGATGTACGTGCGTACATATACACAGTTTGGATACTTATCAATACGCAGCCACACTAGGAAAAGAACAATAATGCTTGACGTTTCGGACAAGACAGGACACATCATCAGGCGATAAAACCCAAATGGGATGCTTTACACAACAAAGGCGCCATTGAGGCTAAAGGGCGTTGTTCACGTTGATGTTTACATGGACGTACGATTGAACAAGAGGGGATGTATGTTGTCTTTTTGAACGTATTTGACGCGCGTGTGGGCGTGGAAGAATTTAGAGCGATGACTGGCTCTGAATTCTGTGTTCAGTTTGGGGGGAAAGTTTATGCACGTGTTCAAAACAACCATGATGCAAGTCTGTTGTGAAAGAGTTTTTTTTTTTTTTTACTGGCGATAATAGATAATGGATGTTAATTACTTCTTTGTTTACTTAGCCGTAAATACCTGAGCTTGCTGCTTAAATGCTTTTTTGTTGATCCATAATTCTTATTAATTTTATTATGTTTCATATTTGCGTTTTTGTCTAGGTAGTTATCTTTTGGAGAGAGAGAGAGAGAGAGGAGAGAGAGAGAGAGAGAGAGAGAGAGAGGAGAGAGAGAGAGAGAGAGAGAGAGAATAAAATCAGACAGTTCTTGACGGTCTAGCCTGCAATCATGAAATGGCGAGAGCAAAGTGCCTGTCTTAGTTATAAAGCAAAGTGATGAAACCGAGTGATTCGTAAATTTCACTGACTTAGAAATGTTCAGTAAAGTGAAAGCCAACGAAATTAGCCAGCGACATCTCGGCCTTCAGCGAGAATTATTCGAGTTATATATAGCACTACTATGTTAAATAAGGTTTCTCTCTCGTAGTCTTTAGGCTTAGGTATATAATATCCAATTTACCCTTTACATATTTCAGAACTTTTTTTTTGTAATTTTTAAGATACAGAAAGTAATTTGTTAATCCCTCTTCGTACTGCTGTGATGATCCCATGAACATTTGCATATCAACGTACAAATACCATACATACTATACAATTACTGATACAAATACATAGGCTATATACAACATACTACATCCAATTAACGTCTAAGTTCTTTCAATACTTTCTTCCCTTTTCTCTCCGTTTTACATTTTTTTTCTTTCTTTTTTTTACCGTATCTACAAATCTGTTCTAACATTTTCTCCCCGCTTTACATTTTTTGACATATCTACAAATCATTTTTTCATTTTCTCTCTCTCTTTTACATATTTATGTATTTTTCTTTTATCACATGTCTTGCAAGTCCATTTTCATTCCTCTCTCTTTTACACATCTTTATCCATTTTCCTTAATCGCATGTCTGCAAATCCATTTTCCTTTTCCTCTCTCTTTTACACATCTTTATCGATTTTCCTTATTCGCATCTCTACAAATCCATTTTCCCCTTCCTCTCTCTTTTACACATCATTATCCATTTTCCTTAATCGCACCTCTACAAATCCAACCTTCCTTTTCAGTACATAAACGGAGGCTCCCTCGACGCCCTCATCGGCAACCACGCCGTCCTGCTGTCGTGGGCGACCCGCGTGTCCCTGGCGCTGGACGTGGCTCGTGGCATGGCGTATCTGCACTCCAAGGGCGTCTTCCACAGAGATCTCACTTCCAAGGTGGGTCATGTGGGATTTAGTTATTTGAATGGTTATATGTGGGATTTATATGGGATTTCTTTATTCGTTCATTTGCTTCTAATTGCGTTTGATTGATACATCTCGCTCTTAATGGTGTATGTAGTATTTCTTTTTTAAGCACGTATGATTATATTTCGATTTTAAGATTTTGAGATGAAATCACTTATTCGTTCTTGCGATTTGTTATTTTTCTCAGAAAGAGTACTTTATATTTCATATAATGACTGTTTCAGTACTGGAAATATATTTAAACTAATTTACGTATACAAGCGTAATATTAGGATACTTTTTTTTACAGAATCCTGAATTAAATAAAGTAATTTTTAATGATGTTTTGTCTTCCAACAGAATGTGTTAATCAAGCACACAGAGGAAGGTGGAGAACACAAGTTAACAGCTGTCATCGCCGACTTCGGTTTGGCTGCCCCGATCCCTCACGAAAAGTTTGTAGTCTCTCTTGTGTTTGTAACGTGAGGGAGGAAATGAATGATTTATTTATTATTGGAGGTTGGAGTGTTGGGTTTTGTGGGTTTTTAGTATCAGTGGATTTGGGTCTGTAGGTGTTTTTTTTAAAGATTGTGTTGTTATGTTTGATGATAATGTTAGATGATGTAACTTTTTGGTGAGAATGTAGGTATCGGTTCCAAATAGGTTTGTCCTCTTCCATCTTCATTTTTTCGGCCACCAAGCCGTCCACCCCACTTCTGCCCCCCGCCACTCCCCTCCCCTTCCCACCCATCCCCGCCCCCCAAAATCTTTTTCAAACCTCCTATCTCCCCTTCCCAACACTCAACTCCCTCCTTCCCCAACAACTTTCCCCTCCCCCTTTCTCGCCCCCAACGCCCCCTCTCTTCTTCAATTCCCAATGTCCCCCTCCCTACTTCCCCAACTCTCTCCACTCGTCATTCCTCTCACTCTTCTATCCTCATCCCTCAACCTCTCCCCTCTTCCTCCCCCTCTCCCCTCTTCCTCCTTCTCTCCCCTCTTCCTTCCCCCAACCACCCCCTCTCCCCTCTTCCTCCCCCTTCCCCCAACCTCCCCTCTTCCTCCCCCTTCCCCCAACCTCCCCCTCTTCCTCCCCTCTTCCCCCAACCTCCCCCTCTCCCCTCTTCCTCCCCCTTCCCCAACCTCCCCCTCTCCTCTCTTCCTCCTCCTCTCCCCTGTTCCTCCTCCTCTTCGCTCCCCCCTCACCCTTCCCCGCCAATCATCCAAACGTATCACCACTCTAACCCCCTCCTCCCCCCTCCCTCTTCCCGTGCAGGTGCGTGCGTCTCCGCCAGGTGGGTTCGCCGTACTGGATGGCGCCCGAGGTAATCCGCGGCGACTGGTACGACCATCGGGTGGACGTCTTCAGCTTCGGGATCATCGTCTGCGAGTTGATTGCGAGGTGGGCGTGTGATTTGGGTGTTTTTATTTTTCTTTTTTTCTTTTTTTCTTTCTTTTTTTCTTTCTATCTTTCTTTTTCTTTTTTATTTATGTTTTTTTCCCTTTTTTCCTTTTCTTTTTTCTTCTGTATTTTCTATTTTTCTTTGTTTCTTTCTTTTTTTTTCTTTCCTTTTTTTCTTTGTTGATTTTATTTATCAATACGCTACAGCACAATTATATTTAACAGATAAAAGAAACTATTTCTATCGTGAGGAATAAAAGTCAAAATATTTTTTAAAAATCAACATGTTTATACCGTATTTCATTTTTTTTTTTTCTTAGATGCGATGCTGATCCTGACATTCTGCCGAGAACACACAACTTTGGGGTGCATTACTTAGACTTCTATCAAATGTGCCAACAAGACTGTCCAGCGGCCTTCCTGCAGATGGCCTTCCAGTGCTGTCAGGTAAGGGTTTTTCTTTCTTTCTTTTTTTTGCGTAGTATTTGGGTGCCTGTGAGAGATATGTTGTATTTTTTTATTATTTGTAGGGGGAGGGGGTAGGGAGGGAGGTGGGAGGGGGATTTGTATTTGTATTTGTATTTGTATTTTTTGTGTGTGTGCTAGTTTTTTTAGTACTTTTTTCCCTTCTTATTTTATCTTTGTTTTCTTAAATGGCATTTCGTGGGAGTTATTTTTTGTACCAATGTTTATGTTGGGTGTTAAAGGATAACGTACGCTGTGATTTTGTAAATAAATATCACAGACTACTTTTCCCCAAAGACTTAAAGATAAAAAAAAACACTTATACTGATAAAGATTAGTGCATTTGATTATCATTTGCAAAACAAAGGGTAAACAGTATTGTGTGAGATTAAAATAACTGGGAAAATGTCCAGATAAAAGAAATAATGTCAGAACAGATTTAGATGATAAGGTGATTTCAGAATGATTTAGATCAAATTCTTTCTTTGAAAAAAAGAATGAATGGTATAATAAAGTTCAGAGTCTATTACGACAGGAAACAACACAGCAATAAAATAATAATGATTATAGCAGTCACGGCTGATAACAAATATATATGATAGAATAAAAGTAATAATGGAATAATAGCAGTCACAGGCATGAGCAGATTTTTTTTTATAATCCAATAAAAATCAAATATTGTGTCTGTGTTTTTCGATTCTGTTCTACAATTCCCTGTCTTTTTTCAGATTGACCCAGCAACCCGTCCTACTTTTGAAGAGCTGACGACAAAGTTAGAATCTCTTTTGCATCAGCTGATCACACCTCGCCATATGCCTAGGAAGATCAAAGGTAATGTGACCTTACGGATACGTTTAGGTGTTTTAGAAATGGCAAATATTGAAGGATTGATTAATTGATTGATTTGCAGTATTGTGTGGTATGCACTAAGGTTCTAATGATGCATATCAGATTTATTAAAAGTGAAGGTTATTGTTAATATCTAGATGTGTTTTTGATACATTTGCTGTTGACGTATGTAGACATTTCTAACGCGTGTCACTTGCCCCCGCGAACAGTCTGTCACCGGCGATCCCTGTCCGACGACACATTCCTCCTGCTGCGCAACCAAGTGCTGGAGGCGGGCTGCATCACGAGCAGCCCCGGGGCGGCCCACCCGGTCACCACGCTGGCCGACTCCACGGCCGTGACGCCGCAGGAGATCGTGGAGAAGATGAGCGCAGCGGACCCCTACTTCCAGCCGTCCACTGGAACCGTGAACCCCTTCGCACAGCTGAAGCTTCCCGCGAGGTCCCAACTGGTGCTCCAGGAGGGCGGCCGCTACTGCCACTCCCTGCCGGACTCGCCCGGCCTCCTGGCCCACTCGTCCTGCCTGGAGACCAACAAGCACCTCCACACGTCGGACTCCTGCCTCTGCCCTCACTCGACGAATGCTCATTGCCAGTGCCATGTTAACCATAGACAGTTCTCGTCACAAGTGGACAACAGCAGAAAACATTGCCAGTGTGTGCACAGTGGGAAAGTGTTGAAAGCTTGCGAGAAGGACGTGACGGATTACAAGTGTAGATTTAGTAGACTTGCCAGTGCAGAGGGCAGCCCCTCGGTGTGGCAGCACGACATGTGCAGAACGCCCTGCCACGTGGAGGAGGACGGGCCGGCCAGCAGCAGCCCCAGGTCGGACGTCGGGAGCGGGGGCGAAGGAGGAGGCACAGTATTACAAAGCAATCACCTGGGGGGCCCAGTGCGCCGCCGCGGGTCGGGCGAGAGCGGGTTTTTTAGCGTCGGGGACGTGGAGCGCATAGGCACGCCCGAGCTGTGCCTCTCCTACTCGGAGCTGAGCACCGCCTCGCTCATCTCCACCGAGGACGATGACCAGGGACACCACTGCCTCGTACAAAGGTCCTCCTCCGTGGTGACCGACAGCTCCGAGGACCTATCTAGTCTAGGCTGCTGCCACGACCCCCAACACTCATGCGACCTCTCCTCCCTCTGCGAGAGCGAGGACATCATCCCGGGCAGCCGCCTGTCGGATCACGAGGTCGACACCGACATCCGCCAGATCGTGGACTTCTTCGAGAGGAACATCGGGTCGGGCACAGGGTCCGACGGCCCGAGGCGCTCGTCCTCCCGCGTGCGCCGCCAGGGATGTTTGGTGCCGCTGTTAACCCACAAGTTCAGTTCTCTTCACACTGGCCATCGCTTGATTAGCATATCAAGTACGCCATGTCCAGTGCATAATAACAACGGAGCCTCGACTCCTTGCAATAAGTCATTCAGCACCAAAGATTGTGCAATACCAAAGTCCTGTCGCCAGCCGTGCTCGAGGCCCGAGCGACGCGACACCTTTCGAGTGAAGGACAGACCAAAAGTGTACATTACAGAGGGTACCGTCCGTGCAAAGCGCGATATATTTGAAGCTAAGTGAGCCAAGTGAAATATATTTTCTTTATGTGAAAATAGATATAATGTAAATTGTTGATATTTTTGTTCTTCCTAGTCACAAGCTGAAGTGTTTTGTGATATTGAACTAACAGTTTTCTCTTCCTTTGTCTTTAGATGATGTCAAATAAAACAAAAACCGAGAGAGACTTTTATTTATTCCTAGCAAAAGGGTCTGCTATTGGCTAATGGCCTATGATGATAATACTAATTATCTTAAGTATTATATATATATATATTTTTTTTTCCTTTTTCACTTTATAGAAAATCGTAGCAAAGGAGATATCCCTTTAGTTGTGGTAAAGAATCTGACACGTCGGCAGATTCCACAGCTGAAAAAATAACTTAATATGGGGCGGGCAGTGATGTATTATTTATATAACATGTCAAAGCCGTCTATGGAATGCCAGAGCAAATATAGTCGGCTTGTTTCATATCTACCAGAAGCCATAGCTAGGGAGATGATTGGCTAATGTACAGTGTTTATGTTGCTGTTCATTTAATTACAATAAGTATGTTAGTTTATAATCATATCTGGTTTTCTGTATCATGATGTAAAACACGGGATATATAAACCTCAATGTCTGAAAACCTATTTAAGAAAATTAGAACATGTAACTCTTTCTGGTCGAAGTCAAGGATAACATTGCTTTTTGAATGTCGTGTAGCAAATATGAACTATACATATATATATAAGAAACAAAACGAAAATAAACCACTGAGAAAGACATGGCAGAAGAAAATCGTTTCACTCCGATGTAAGCAATTACTGCCATTTTAGAGATTCATTATGGAAATAATAAAAGAAAAAAGGTAAGCAAAAGACATGTTGCTAATGAATCAAGATAAAAATTCCTTCATTAGTCCACGTATCATCGCAGTTAACATGAACCTAGTATATCTAGTGGAAAAAACAAGTAAAAACAAATCAAAACAAAATCAACTAAGCACACAGGAGAGAGCAAATATATCAAATCTATAAACAAAACGAAAAAAAAGAAACTTCAGCAGAACCAGGGCAGAGGAAGCAGAGGAATAGTGCCCTTAGTATGACAGATGACTCCCGCAAAAAATGTTTGAATAATTTAGAAACCTTTAAGCTGCATGTGAGTCACTGAAGCCCCTGCATTTCTTATATTGCTGAAAAAATATAAGAGGAATCTTGGTTAAATTATTTCGTTAAAAAGACAAACGAAGTCATGACTAGTGTTCATATTTTCCAGCTGGGACTTCAATCGTGATATTGTTTGTTTGTTTTTCTTCTAGTCATATAGTCATACATACGGGGAATATATACACCTGTTTGTTTGTTCAGTGACCTGTAGAAAAGCTAGCACTTAATGTTACGGAGGTCCTGAGCTGATCTTTGTCATTAAAATTAGCACAATTGTTTCACTTACGATGATAAACTTTGCATATATTAAATTCATTAAAAAGTATATCCACTTTATTTCTGAAATGAACAGTTGTGTCACCTTTGGTAATGCTAGTAAATTATTAGGTATGCAGAGTGTAGCTAAGCATACACACACATTCTGTCTTCAAATTCATTGCAATAAATGTTTAACAGTCAGTTTCATTCTATTACTTTATAAAAATTAGGCTAATCCGCACACTTTTGAAGTAAGGTATCATAGTGAATAACGCTTACTCTAATATGAATAAAATAAGGGGGAAGTGAGGAACATAAACTTCTATTGTTAGTATCCTCACTACACACACACACAGATCACACACACATACATACACACAAATAAGTTTAAATGCACACACACACACACACACACACACACACACACACACACACACACACACACACACACACACACACACACACACACACACACACACACACACACACACACACAAATATATATATATATATATATATATATATATATATATATATATATATATATATATATATATATATATATATATATATGTATATATATATATATGTTTTCAAAATATTAAAAGTTTACACTTACTGGAAAAGTTTAAGGATGAATGAAGTTTAATTGCCGCTTCTATCCTCATGTAAGTGTCCACAAGATCCCCAACCTTTAAATTTCACCCCAAAATCCTGTTGTTAAAATATCCTGTATGTCTACACCATGCAAATTTCATTAACTTGCAAGATTTCGTTTCGTTTCGACATTAGGGAGAAAATAATGCAGTTCAGTATTTGTTTTAACTAGCGAACTCACTAAGAGAATCTGAGTAATATTCAAAACATATTCCAACAAATCTGTTTTATTACAAGGAATTTTCAAAATCTGATTAAAGATGTGTTTGTTCTCTCACGTTTATTATCGAAGTTGCCCATATCTATAATAGAAAATATACCAAATGGTTTCAAAGAAAACAATAGCAATTTCGTGAGTAACTCAAGTTAGTTTTACAGATAAATTTACAGTGACATCTTACACAGTGAAATTCGTATATACCAAACTACTGTATCATTCTTTTTAATGACAGTATGCCTAGTAAGACAATCTATTAGAGTTGTAAGTACTAATGATGATCAGGGAAGTGTATTTAATGGAAATAAACCAATTCTAAAGCAAAATCATACTTGGGAAAATTAAATAGGGAGATATAAACCAAATATGGATTCATACAGTGACTTCGTATCACAAAGGACAATATTCATGGTGATTACTTCATACAAAAATGCAATGCCATGTAGAGCCTAGACAAAGTAGATTTAAAAACCCGTGCAGGCTAATTTCAGTAATTATGATTGAATCAATGATGAAGCACAGTAAAATGTTATTAAATGAAGTAAAGATATGATAGAATAATGTATGAAATATATTTGTAACAGAATATACGGCAAATATTAATGATTTCATCTCAATATATTTTTCGCTCACGATAAAAAGGAAAGTAATGCACATAGCTTAAAACGCGTGATACACTCAACATCTATAGTTGGCTATAGTTTATATCTTAATTTTTATCGTATTTGAGATTTACCAATGTTTACAAGAAAGAGACAAAGGAGAATACCTGATCACTATTCATAATGTTGGGATTTAGGATATGGGATCTTAGCCCAAGCAGATTTTTAGTTCTTTACTCAATAAAGAATATATAAAACCTGTGCTTATCAAAAGGTGCGTGGGATGGATTTCGTAAGAAATTTGAGATCTTCAATTAGGGCTGTAGCATCGGGCACCTGCTACTGACAACGTCACTACTGCAAATTGTACTTTATAATGCATATTACCTTTGAGACTGTCAGATAAGAAATGACTATTGTTTTGCCGTCCATCCATCATTCTATTTATTATTTGTCATCATTATCATAACATGTCATTTATGCTTTATACTTGTATTTTATCCTTGTGCTCATTAATTAGTACTGCAATTAACATGCAGGAAAAATATATTACGTTTTCCTCTATAACCTTTTTCTATCATAGTTTTATATCTCCTATGTAAGATATTAATAAGAGAAATATGTCACATCTTAAAAATAAAATAGTTTATCTAAAATAATCTTTGAAGAAAACGAAAGCATTTCTTCGTATTAATAGAAAATGTAATTATATGGGATACTTATCTTTTTACATTACTCCCTTCGATACACACAAGGGAATTGCGTTTGAGTAATAATGTGATATAAAAATCAACAAAGATATACCTACAGATAAAATTAGTAAAATTATGTCGAATAAACAACGATAATAAACAACCGATAACAAAATAACGAGAAAAGACCAAATTGCATAGTTATTATTTTCTCATCGCCATTACATATATGCCTTTTAAGAAAGAAAAAAAAAGTGTTTTAATCCAACCAAGTAGAAATACTCTATTTTATACAAAATTCTTCAAATGTTTCTATATTTTTGTAATTCGTCTTTGAGCGGTCTGATTTCATTCAAAGAAAATGGAATCATCTTCAAACACACGCTAGATTATAATTTGTGGTGATCAACAGTTTATACCTTATCATACAACTTTCTTTGCAGTATTCATCATCATCATCATCCTTATCGACATCATTATCACCTTCATATTAATCTTACGAGCGATTTAAAACACATGCAAGAAAATATCATAACGAAAATATCCACCACGCATTGACACCTCATTTCCATGTACGCAACAGACACCGACACCGCCACGCATGTGACTCACTATATTATGTGATCAATAGCAAGACACAACATAAAAAAGCGGTGCGAACGTGCCTTTGTTATCCGGGTATCATCATTATTTACGATAAAATGAGGGAAGGAGTGTGAATTTGAGGAGGGGGGGTTAGGGAGGGGGGGAGAAGGGGGTAAGGGAGAAGAAAGCGAAGAGGGAATGTGAAGAAGGAGAGGGTAAAGGGATAAAGGAGAAGGAGGGAGAAAGGGAGAAGGGGGTGAGGAGGGAAAAGGGAAAGGATGGGCAAATGGGTTTAGATTAAGATCGAGTTTAAGAAAAAGAGTAGTGAGGAAATATGGAAAATAACAAGAAGAAACGAAAGGGGAGAAGATACGCTAAAAACACACAAAGACAATAGGTATATAACAAGACCGAAAACACATACATACATACATACATACAAACTCACACATACATATAAACTCTACGTATAGTGTATTTATATATACAAACACATACATATATGTACATATACTTATAATATTGTGATCATAACCATCCAGTTAATAATATATTAGAAAGTATATCAACATGACATAATCAGTTTTCCGAAGCCAGATCTAACCTATGTATAACGACTGCAAACATTAGGAAGTTATTTTCAGATATGAGTGTTCTCTGTCTAATATAATTACTGCTTTCTGCTTTCAAAAATGATGAGGAGGATGCTTACGGTTATGGTGTTGCAGATGAGATAAATGGTGGCAAATATGATATTGATAATGGTAGGAATAATGATAATGATAATAATAACACAGAAAAATCATGCAACTTCAGGCGTGAGAATTAAAAACAATTGAAGGTCTGTGTTGCTCCATTTACATTTACTGTTTATTCTTTTGCTTATTTTATCTACGAAAACAATAATAAAGAGACAGAATTGTGCCTTGCGTCATGTTGGGATGCGGGCATTTCATAGATGCGCGCGTGTGTGGCTAAGCATGTTCGTGATAGTGTGCTAGCATGCTCATGCGGTGTG